GCCACAGAGGGCAATGACGAGGCCACTGAGGGTAGCAACGCGTAGGACTGCGAGGGGGCCACTGAGGGCGACAGCGGGGCCACGAATGGCATACATCTGGGGCCACGATGGGCGCGAACAAGCGGGGGCAACAGAGGGCATACTTATATTGGGCCGCAGAGGGCAAGGACGGGGCCACTGAGGGCAGGAACGGGGCCACGACGGGCAGCGAGGGGGCCACGAAGGGCTGCAACGTGGCCACGACGCATGCATGTGGGGCCGCGGCGGGCGCGAACGAGCGGGGGCCACGAAGGGCATACATACATGGGGCCACAAAGGCCAGCGAGGAGGCCACGCAGGGCTGCAACGAGGCCACGAAGGGCAACGAGGGGGCCACGAAGGGATGCAACGGGGCCACGAAGGGCAACGAGGGGGCCACGAAGGGCTGCAACGGGGCCACGTAGGGCTGCAACAGGAGCACGAAAAACTGCAATGGGCAAACAAAGGGCAGTGAGGGGGCCACGAAGGGCTGCAACGGGTCAACGGGCTGCAACGGGTCAACAAAGGGCATCGAGGGGGCCGCGAAGGGCTGCTACGGGGCAACGAAGGGCAGCGAGGGGGCCACGACGGGCTGCAACGGGGCCACGTAGGGCTGCAACGGGGCCACGAAGGCCAGCGAGGGGGCCACGAAAGGCTGCAACGGGACCACGAAGGGCAGCGAGGGAGTCACGACGGGCTGCAACGGGGCCACGGAGGCCAGCGAGGGGGCCACGAAGGGCTGCAACGGGCCAACAAAGGGCAGCGAGGGGGCCACGAAAGGCTGCAAAGGGGCCACGAAGGGCAGCGAGATCCCGATGCCTAAGACTGCGAGGGAGTCCTAAACGTGTGCGCGGCTCCTGGATGCATCAGTGTCAGGACGCGGCGCCTGAGTGAATAGCGAAATTCCCAAGCGCAACAGCGCGATTCGTAAGTAAGTTGCAAGCGAGACTCCCCAGCGAGAGCGCGATTCCTGAGTAGAATGCGAAGAAGTCTCAGCCGGGAGCGGGGGTCTTGGCTGAATTCTGAGGAAGTCTCAGGCGGGAACCGTTGTTGCTGTAACCCGGGGGCCAGGGGCACAGTTTAGTCTACTCACTTCCCCGGGGAAGAAAAAACACACACAAGAATGGTTACAGGGGGATCAACAACAATCATTCAACAATGAGAGTTCAACAGCGACAGCAACAGCAACGGCAACAACAACAACAATCATTCAACAATGAGAGTTCAACAGCGACAGCAACAGCAACGGCAACAACAACACCAAGGCATGCAGCAACGCTGATGTGCGACCCTCTTCCCAAGGGCACAGGAGTCTGGTCACTCTATTCGCAAGAAAGAATCCTGTGCCCCCCCCCCGTTGGCCACATGTTGACCTTCTGGGGGTGAGGGACCCGAATTAGGGAGCCCCCCTCCTTTGATCGATCTCCTCCAAGATGGCCCCCGAGGCTCCCAAGGGTGCCCCAAGACGGCCCAAAAAGGTGCCCAGGAAGCCCCAAGAGGCCCCCACGATGCCCCCAAGATGCCCCAAAGAGGCCCCAAGAGACCTACAGGAGGCCTCAAGAGGCTCCCCAGAGGCACCCAAGACGCCCCAATAGGCATCGGGGCTGTCAAGAGAGCCCCTAGAGGCTCCCCAAGAGGAAGGACTTCAAGAAGTTCTCGAAAGAAATCCGAAGAGAATCCGAGGGGCATCCAAGAGGCCACTAGACTTTCTGCTCGCCCTCCTCCCGATCCTCCTCCTCCTGCTCCTCATGTGCCTCCTCCTCTTCATCATCATCGCCACCATCACCACGACCATCAACATCGCCGTCACCGTCACATCATTATCACCATCATCATCATCATCATCATCATCATCATCATCATCATCATCATCATCATCATCATCATCATCATCAGAATCATCATCATCATCATCATCATCATCATCATCATCAGAATCATAATCATCATCATCATCATCATCATCATCATCAGCATCATCATCATCATCATCATCATCATCATAATCATAATCATCCATCATCATCATCATCAGCATCATCATCATCATCATCATCATCATCGTCATCATCAGCATCAGCATCAGCATCAGCATCATCATCAAAATCATCATCTTCATCATCATCAACAGCATCATCATCATCAGAATCATCAGAAGCATCAGCATCATCGTCGTCGTCGTCATCATCCTCATCCTCAGCATCATCAGCAGCATCATCATCAACTCATCAACATCACCATCATCAGCATCATCAGCATCATCAGCATCATCACCGTCGTCATCATCACCACCAGCGTCAGCGCCATCATCATAATCAGCATCAGCATCAGCATCAGCATCAGCATCATCAACAGCATCATTAACATCATCAGCAGCATCAACAGCATTATCAGCAGCAGCATCATCATCAGCATCATCATCCCATCATCACCATCAGCATCATCATCAGCATGGTCATCAGCATCATCACCGTCGTCATCATCACCACCAGCATCAGCACCATGATCATCATCGGCATCATGATCAGCGTCAGCATCATCAGCATCACGAACAGCAGCAGTATCATCAGCATCATCATCAGCATCATCAGCAACGTCATCAACATCATCAACATCATCAACATCACCAGCCTCATCACCATCATCATCATCATCATCATCATCATCATCATCATGATCATCATCATCATCAACATCATCAACATCATCAAACACATCCGCCTGTTCCTCCTACTTCCTCCGTCTCCCCCTTCTCCTCTCCCTTCTCCTCCTCCTCCTGCTCCTCCTCCGATTCCTCCTCCATCCTCCCCCTCTATGGGTACGACGTCTTACCCAACCCGTTACTCTACTGCAGTCTCCTCCGCATCCCTGATCGGGGCAAACCCGTGGCCGCGTCTGCCCGCCCCGAGCCTGCCACAGACGGCCACCACAGCAACGGCCAGCACCGCCCAGCACCGCCATCGAGGGACCGCCACGAGGGGCTGAAGACGACCGCGGGAGGACAACGGCAACGACGGCGACGACGATGACGACGACGGCGACAAAGAAGACGACGACGACGACGACGACGACGACGGCGACGACGACGACGACGACGACGACGACGGCGACAAAAACGACGTCCACGACGACGACGACGACGAAAAACCGCGGCGGTGGCGACGACGGCGGCGGTGGCGCGAACCGCGAGGAGTCCTCGTCAGCGCCTCGCACTTCACCAGCTGCTCCACGCACGCGGCCTGGGCCCGCGGGGGGCCGTCCGCGGGCGCCCCGCGACGGGGTGCCGAGCAGGGGGGCGCCAACTCCAAGCCCTGGCCTGCACTGGTGCTGGCCGCCCTGCCCCTGCCCTCACCCTCCTCTTGCCCGTCCTCCTCCTCCTGCTTCTCCTCCTCCTCCTCCTCCTCCTTCTCCTCCTTCTCCTCCTCCTCCTTCTGCCCCTCCTCCTGTCCCTCCTCCTCCTCCTCCTCCTCCTCCTCCTCCTCGTCCTCCTCCTCCATTGGATGCGGCAAGTTCCTGCCGTGCCGTCTGTGGCTCTGGCTCCCGACGCCGCGTGGACCCGCCAACCTGGAACGATCTGCAGCTGCTCGATCGCCAGCTCGTCCCACGTTGGCCCACTCTGGGCCACTGGCGGCGCGTCCAACCTTGAGAACGCCCACGGCGGGGTCGCTCCCGCGTCGACACTGCGCGAACGTGCCGCACTGGAATCTTCCAGTCGCGACCGACAAGGTCGGTCGCTACCGATGTTGCTTCCAATGCCGGTATCCTAGGGCTCCCAACTTCGCGCTTCGCGCTCCGCGAAGCGCGAAGCGCGAATAACTTCGCGCTCTCGCGCAGCCCCCCCCAAAGGGAGGAAAGGAGGACGAGGAGGAGGGGGAGAAGGAACGAGGACCGCAAAGCGCGAAGCGCGAATAACTTCGCGCCCTCGTGGGAGCCCTTGGGTATCGGTCGCGACCGATCTGCTTCAAGGTCGGTCGCGACAGATCGGTCGCGACCGATGTGTAGTGCCGATCGGTCGCTACCGGTCGTGACCAACAGCAATCGGGAATCCAATGGTCTGCCGGGGGACGCTTCATAAGGTGGGGTAGGGGCAGAAGGGGCTGGGAGGGAAGCCGCTCTAGACAGCTCCTGGAAGAAGTAAACGTGAGCTTCCAGCTGGGTCCGGTCCCTAACCCCACCTTGGGATAATCAGGAGAGGCTAAGTCCAGACGCAACAAGCCCAGACGGAGACCAAGAAATCTGTATGGTCTGTGGATTTAGCCGCCTACAAGGAGAGGCTCAATTGAAACGTAGTGAGCCCAGAGGGAGACCGAGCACTCCGTATGGACTGACTCCGTATGGACTTTCACGTCGGCAAGAAGATGTACAAACTTTCAGGCCCTCCCAGATAATAACAAAACGCAGCACAAGTACATCGATCTGAAGTAGGAAGCTGCTTGAAGCAAGCTGGGATCCAAACATCAAGCAATAACTACCTACTTCCAACGATCAACGAGAAGTATCCGCCGAGATTCTAACAGGTTATGGACTACGAAAATAATTTACCCAAACAAGTTGTTTTGTTCGTCGAATATACGGACAATGCGTGCAACGCTCGCAGATCTGCGAACATACTATGACTTGCAAGTCTACCTTCGACGAGAAAACCGATTTGGGGGGTGCATTGATTCTGTACAGTGGAGGCCAGTCCTCAAGAAACCTTCCACACGAAACCCAACCCTGAGACCCCAGGACGTCCATTGATTTGTTGTGTGGGAACGTCGCGCTCTCCATCGCAAAACCATCGAAGCCCAAGAAACCCCGGGCACCCGTGAGACAAGCAGGATGTTTCTTGGCATGGGCCTCCATTGTAGTCGATCCCCTGCTCGATTCAACAATACCTACTTTCAACGACCGACGAGTAGCATCCGCCGAGATTCGAGAAGGCGATCGGCTACGAAATGGATTCACCCCAGAAACTGTTGTGCTTGTCGGACCCGCGGGAAAAGTGCGCAGACTGACCGCTGCTCTGCGAACATACTGCGACCTGCAAGTGCAAACTCGACGAGGAGACCGATTTTGGAGGGCAAATGAACTCTGAAGCCGACCCCCTGCTCGAGGGATATAACTCCCCTCCTCGACGAATCCCCCGACCCCACGGGGCCTGGGCAGGCCCCAGGCGGGGCCCCGCAGCCGGCGCGCCGCCGCGCTCTCCCCCGGCCAGGCCGGGAGGCGGCGCGGAAACGCACAGGGCCTGGGGCCTGGGCGTCGGATCGACGCCCGGGCCCAACTCGGGCGCTCAGGTCGACGCCGTCGATTCGAGCTGAGCGACCGAAACGGGCGCGGAGAAAATGAGCACGATGCCCAACGACAAAAATGTTGTCCGGCACCGACAGCGGCCGCTGTTGGGCCGGCGGCCTTCGGTCCAAAGCGGGCAACAGCGCCGGGACACCGCCTGCGAGTCCTCTCAAAGCGGGCAAGAAGTTGCGTCGGTCCGCGGCGTCGCTGGAAGCGAGTACTGTTCAAAATGAGCCGGAACTCCTATCGGTCTTTGTACCCTGCCGCGGCAACTTGGCCCATGCCACAGTGCCGATCGGCGGCGGAGAAGCCTGGCAACGGGCATCTCTATTCTTGGTCACCAAAGAATCGCTGCGGCGGCACCTGTGGATTACCCCACAGGGTCAACGCCGAAGCGACTGCAAGAAAGGCACACGGAGCGAATGAGCAGCTAGACGAAAAAATCAAACCATTTCGATCGTCCCATTTCTGTACCCATTCTTTCCAAGGGACCGGGCTCTTTACACCGACGTTTTCTACGGCCCCGCACTGCAATTCGCACAAGAGAGCGGATCCTGGAGTATACGGGATCCTGGTGTATCCCTTTTTCGTGGCTTCCACGGGGAAGCGGGGAAGACAGTATACACCACACCACTCCGACGTCGTCGTCCCCGACCCTCAAGAAATCCTGGGATTGACAGACAGCCCGCCACTGGTGATGTAGATGTTCCAGTTACCGACGTGCCGTACCCCTCATTTCGACCGTCCCGAGGTCCTGTCGGGTCGGGCGAAAGGGGGGGATAGCAAAGGGGGGGTTTGAGAATCAGCTCACGTAGCTGATTTTCCCGGCGCCTCCCGGCGCCGGAGGCGCCCATGTATCGAGGAATGGGCCCCTCGGTGGGGCCGAAACCAGCTGCATGCAGCAGATTCCGTAACCCCCCCTTTCCCAATCCCCCCCTTTCGTCCGGCCCGATAGATGTTCCAGTTTCCGACGTGCCGTACCCCTCATTTCGACCGTCCCGAGGTCCTGGGCGTCGAGGGGCGGGCCTTGCCAGGGCCGCCAGAGGTGTGCGCAGGGCCGGGGGAGGCTGCGGCAGGGGCGGGCAGCCCAGGGCGGGGGGGGGGGCACCACCGCCGGACCTGCAGGCCTCGCCAACAAAATCACAGGATAAGACGCTGTTCAAAAGCGAAGCGCTCGATGGCTCGAGCACTTCTCAGAAGACGCGCTCTTCACAGGCCTCGCCAACAAAAACAGGATAAGACGCTGTTCAAAAGCGAAGCGCTCGATGACTCAAGCACTTCTCGGAAGACGCGCTCTGCAATGCTGTGAGGGTGCTGCCGGATTTCGGGCACCCCTGCGACTGGGCCGAAAACACCTCATGCCAGCATTGAAGTAGCGCCGACCATGAAAGCACCGACAAAAGAAGCCGTCCATGTATGTTTGACGAGTCTTGTAGGACAGAAGAGCATCCTTCAAGAACATGATACACTCCGCTGGCCAAAACGCACACACAGAACATCTAAGGGTACCAGCCCCCAGGATGCACAAGAGGATGCACAAACGCATCCAGCAAACCCAAGAACACTGGGGTACCCTCCCCAAGGCCGACCTCGATCTTGCACCTCGGTCCGACCGTACGGCAGGTTCGTGCAGCGATGGCGTCGACGTCGGTCTCTGACACCGCGTGGATCGTTCAGCCTGGAACGATCGCGGCTTCCCGAGAGCGCAAATCGTTCGATATCGGTTGGGACGCTGGCGGAGTTCCACCTCGAACTCCCGCGTTGGTGCCACCGCCGTGGCAACGCGGCTCCGATGGCCCGTGTGTTCGACGAGACTCCTGGGCGAGCCTGTCGTCGCCTCTGGCATGATCACTCGCCGTCGCTCGAACGTCCATTCCCCGTTCATGCTGCATGCTTCGGCTTCGCGCGCGCATTTTGCCCCAAGATGGCCCAAAATGCTCCTCGATGGTCCTCGCCGAGGAGGGAGGAAAACAAACCAACAACAAAAAACATTAAAAAAACGAAACGCTTGGGCGTGGCTTCATGGGGGGGTCACAAATAGGGGGGTCAGAAACGGTCCCCTTTCGTGCCCCTTTCGGGCCCCTCCGGAGCCCCAGGGGGCTCGTTTAGGCACCGTTTGGGTACCTTTTCGGACCACCCTCGCCACCCCCCCATTTATGACCCCCCTATTACGCAACGCCCAAAACGCCCGAGCGATGCCAAGAGCCGGAGCCGACGGGGGCAGGGCCCCCCGACGCGCGAGAGGAGGCGCGCCTGCGGCCATAGATCGCGGGGAGGCACCGCACACGACGGCCGGAAGGAGCCGACGCCCCGACGGGCGAGGCCACCTCCAGCCCCCTGAAGTGGCGAATCCAAAGAAGGACCCCTAATGGGACGCACAGAAACATACACCCTGCGAGATGCTTAAGAAATCATGGGTTAAGAAATTCATAGTCTCAGAACTTGAGTAAAAACCCAACATTTCCACTCAAATCTTAGGATTTACATTGAAACATTAAGAATCCGCCGATCCGGCGTGTGAGTTTCTGAGAGCGAAGGCTTGAGCTTGCTCAAGCTTCGCTCTGGAGTGGAGGGGGGGGGGACGCGCGCTTTTACAGAGAAGCCCTCTGTAGATGTGCTCAGGGGGTGGCGCGCGGGATTTGCTGCTTTTACAGGGGGATCCTCTGTAGATTCGCTCATGGGCATTAGTCGCTTGCGATATTTGCTGGTTCTACAGACGGGCCCTCTGTAGATGCGCTCGACGAGCGGCGGGTTTGCTGCTTTTACAGAAGGACCTTCTGTAGATGCACTCAAGGGCATTGCAGATTTGCTGCTTTTACAAAAGGATTATCTGTAGCTTGTATATGCGCTCAGAAGGTCGCGGATTCGCTGCTTCGACAGAGTGGCCCTCAATATATGCGCTCAAGAAATGGCGCTCCGAAGTGTAGATCCTCTGCATTCCTATGGGATCCTCCCCCCGGGAACTTTTTCTGGGGCCCTCCGACGACGGCGACGGCGACGGCGACGAAGTCCAGACTCCTCCACGGCCCCCCCACTAGGCACACCCCAGCGCCCTTTCTTTCGATTTGGATATTTCCGGAAGTCCCGTAAGCTCGTTGTTCGAAAGCCCCGGGGGTCCAAAAAACACATCCGGGATGTGTTTTTTGGACATCCCCCGACTGCGTCGCACTCCTCGGCGCTCCCTAATGCCATTTGTGTCAATTTGGCGATGTGGACATTTCTGGAGGTCTTGGAAATCCGTTTGCGGAGGTCCCGGGGGTCCAAAAAACACATACTCCCTACTCCATCGCGCTCCTCGGCGCTCCCCGGCGCCATTTTCCGACTCGGAGATTTCCCAGAATTCCTGAAAATCGGTATTGGAAGTCGGGGTCCACAAACGCTTCCTCCCATGGAAACCCGAGTCGGGGGCCTCCTCAAGCCATGCGCCGTCGCCGCGCCGTCGCTGCCGTGCCCGCCGTGTCCTGCGTGGAACGGCGCACGCACGCGCACGTGCGCACAAGTGTGTCCTGCGCAGGCAACTAATTACGCACGATGCTGTGGATAGATGTGGTTCGATTTTCAGTGTCCGCGCGTGGTCTCGCGCGCTTCCGTCAGAACGGCGTCGCGACTACTTCATGCTAGTTGTTGGCAGAAACCTCGATTACCTCACGCGAGCGCGGGTGTCGCTCCATCCGCCGAGCGGTGTCGCTACAACCCTACGCTCACATGTTGCAGAGACCAGGACTACCTCACGCAAGTGCGCGCTCCTTCGCTTCGTCGTGGAATTCCTTCGCCTTCTTGTACAAGGGTTTTCCTTTTGCCTGGCAACCCTAATTCAGCCCGGGCCTTCGCGACACTCTCCTTCCACGATTGCGTATACTTCGCCTTATCCACGCCAGCTGCCTTCGCTCTCGAACTTTTCGGCCTGACCTTCCGGAGCTGTTTTGCTGTTTCATCAGTGTTCCGCAACACCATCGACACGTGCTTCCCCTGCAAAGCCTGCCCGGCGACACCCGCTGCAGCTATGCATCGTTCTAAGTGTTCCAAACTCGCAAGAGCACTGTGGCCTACGCGATTCCAGTCTGCTTCAGGTTTCCCCTCCCCGTCATCACACCCGCAGCAATACGTAATATTTAGGTGCCGCGATAGTGCCTTCTCAGCCTCGCTTGCTCGCTGTGGCCCGGCATGTTTTGCAACAAGATGCAATACTTCCAAGTACCCTACGAGGGAGGCACGCAGATGCCTTTTCAATTTATTTATGGGCTTCGCTAGTCCAGCCTTCTTGTTCACCTCGTGTGGCCTCCGAGTCGCAGCCGGCTCGCCCTCAATCTCTGCATCCTCTTGCACCGCGGTGCCGCTTGAGGCTGCTATGGCTCTGCGTTTCGCGGGCGCCTTCCCTTTCGCCACCGCCATTGGGATACAGACTTGAAAGCAAAGGTGTGGAATAAGCTTGGGCCTCGACGGCTACAGGCCCGCAACACTGAACCTGCCTCTCCCCCGCCTCCTCCTCCAACTCTTCCTAACCGTCGTCACTACGTCACCACCCTTCTCGTCCCTATCATCCTATTTGTCATTATCGAAGACACCACCATCGTCATCCTCTTCATCGTCATCCTTATCATCGTCATCCTCATCATCATCATCGTCGTCATCCTCATCATCGTCATCGTCGTCATCAGCATCGTCATCGTCGTCGTCATCGACATCATCATCATCATCATCATCATCATCATCATCATCATCATCACCACCATCACCATCATCATCATCATCATCATCATCATCATCATCATCATCATCATCATCATCATCATCATCATCATCATCATCATCATCATCATCGTCGTCAACGTCATCGGCATCAGCATCATCATCACCAACAGCATCTTCATCACCATCCACTGCCATCAACAACCTCATCAATTGGAGCTGCTGCAACTGAGAATGCTCGACTGGCACGGTCGCAGGACTAGCCGCAGGCAACTGGATACCTTGTGCGCCGCAGAAAGCGTTACGGAGAGGGGTAAGTGGGCGGGGGGGGGAGGTGGGAGAGGAGGGGAGGGGAGAAAGGGGGGAGGGTTGTGGGGAGGGAGGGCGGGGGAAGGAGGGAGGGGAAGCAGGGTGGGGGGGAGGGATCTGGGGAGGGAGAGGGGGAGGGAGGGAGGGAGGAAAACAGGGAGGGAGGGAGAGAAGAGGGATAGTCGAATCGCAACACGCCGAACGCCCCGGATCGGCGGCACAGGCCGGAGGCCATTACAATAATCAAGACTCTGGCCAAAAAATAGGTTTTCTTAAGCATCGCCTAAGGTGTACGAATACGACATGTTTTCCTTGGACGAGCGCGCCCGACCTGGACACATGGTATACCCATCCTGTAGTAGATCGTTCCCCGAGCGGTGTGGCCAGGAAGTGCCCGCCACGACGCATGTACTAGAAGATTTCTCGGTGCGCGCGTCGCCCCTGGGGGGGCGACGCACACATAGCGTTGCCCCGCGGCGGAGGAGGCCTGGTGCTGGTCACCGCGCTGCCTGGCGAGGCTCAGCGCCGCCTCGGAGGCCTCCAGCTCCGCCAGCGTGCGCCTCGCGGCCGTCTCCTCGGGGCCGCCGGGCGGCGGCAGGGGATCCTCCTCCTCCTCCTCCTCCTCCTCCTCCTCCTCCTCCTCCTCCGCCCTCCTCCTCCTCCTCCTCCTCCTCCTCCTCCTCCTCCTCCTCCTCCCCCTCCTCCTCCTCCCCCTCCTCCTCCTCAGACGAGGGAGGGGGCCCAGGAGGAGCTCGCCGGCGCTCGGGCGTCCCTGCCCCGTGCTTTTTTGGCCCGGTGTCGCGCGTGTCTTGTTGGGCTCGGGGACGCAGGATGCACCTCGAGGGCCCTCGCCGAGAAAAAAGGGCAACCGTCCGTGCGATGCCAGGGGAGGGGGGAGGGGCTGCGCATCATGGGCCGACGCACGTGCGCGACGTGGGGGTGAGGGCCCAGGGACGCGTTGAGAGAGAGGGGGAAGTGCGATCTGGGGAGACGGAGAGGGGGGCAGTGGATCTGGGAGATGTCCTGGCCTTTATCCCCACACCCCTTTCCACTCCCCGACCAGAAGATTGCCGACGTGTTCACGGGCATTGAAGCCGCTGTGAAAGTCTACGACAACTCAGGGGAGCTGCCCAGCAACTGCTGCTTCGGCAAAGGCAAGCCCTCTGAGGCCCCACGCAGAGGCAAACTCTGTCATCCCCCCTCTTCGACGACCCCAAGAGCGAGAAATGAATAGCGAGAAATAGCGAACTCGGGGAGCTCGCGCAGTTCGCGGCCGGCTCGCCGCCGCGACCCCTGCCTTGCCTCACAGCGCCTGAACCTCCATCGAGACCGCGCCGACTGCACCTGGATCCGCCCACTGGTCAACATTCAATGCGAGGCCCTTCCTGTTGGCGCCCGCGCACATCACCCGCGCGGCTAACAACCTCAGAACGAAGCTTCCAGTCCAATGTGTGAGGGACATGCACACGATGGCATCAGTGCAGACGAGTTGGAGGCGGCCGAGGGGTCTGAGCTGGTCGGGCACCGAGAAAAGAGGTCAAGAGGAGGGGAGGATGACGCCAAACCCGTTCGAAATCGCTCCCCAGACTCCTCCCGAGGTCCGACTGGTTCAATGTGTCACTCCAGATCGATTCTTCACGGTCCTGGAACCCGAAAAACACCTAAGAACTTCCCGAACCCAGAACCCCGAACCTGCCACCCCCTTCCTGCAGGCCGGAATCAGTGCTGCGTCGTCTCAGACCCCAGACGGCTCAAACGTCCAGTCAAGCGTGTGGCGAACACCCGTACCATGGCACCGGTGCAGGCGAGAAGGCGAGGAACGAGGGAGGCGAGGGAGAAGAGGGGCAGCGTCCAGGAATGGCGGAGGAGGAGCAGGAGAAGGATCGGGAGGGGGGTGGCAGCGTCATCCTTGACACCCGTGCCAGAAGCGACAGCAACAGCAGGAGGGGGCCAAGGAGCAGGAGGGGAGAGGAGAAGGACGAGAAGCAGCAGCAGCAGCAGGAGGAGCAGCAGCGGAAACAGGAGTGGGCAGAGGAGGGAGAGGGCGAGAATGTAAAAACAAGGGAGAAGGCGGAGAAGCGACGGAGGTGGGGGTCAACCTACAGAGAGAACGCCTTCACCTACCTCGTTCACCCCCACGTACTTTTCATAACGCATAAGTAGTAACACCCGAGACCCATCCGCTGACAATCACTTGGATCAAATCAAAATGATGGGCCGCACGGTCTTACACCATCTCTTGGTGCGTGGGCGAAATGGGCCCCCATGACCCGGATGATGATTGATTAATGTGGCTTGGTTGTTGAACTCCATTTCTAAAGAATCATGAATCTCGATCCCACCTCTAGTGCACCTTCTGCTATTTCAATTGAAGTGCCCCTTCTGGGGGCGTTTTTTTTTTCACGAGGAGAACGATTAGGACTCAGACTGTGTTGTAGCCCATCCGCTTACAACGACACCAACGACAACGACAACAACAACAACAACACACACAATAACAAACCGATACTATTACATATATAACAGCAGCAACAACAACAGCATCAACATCAACATCAACATCAACATCAACAAGAATCACAACGATAGCAACAACAATACAATAGCAATAACAATAACAAGAACAATAGCAATAACAGCAACATCAACAACAATCATATTAAGACTGTTCGCTCTGAATTGCTCGAGTGTCATTCAACGTGTATTTCCCAAACCCTCGATACCGTCCTCTTCGTCTTCGATCGTACCCCTTTTAGGGGGGTATATGTTTGTTCGCTGCTGACCCCGGCAAGCGGCGGAGCGGCAGCGGACCGTCGGCCTGGCCAGCGGCAACGCTGATCGGCGGCAACCCGACCCCAAGAGAAACGGACAGGTGACCGACAACGACGACGACAACGACGACGACGACGACGACACGACGACGACGACGACGACGACGACGGCGGCGACGACGGCGGCGACAACGACGACGAGCGGAAGCAAGAGCGCGAGCGAGAGCGACAGCGGGGCCACGAAGGGCAGAAACGGGGCCACGAAGGGCATGCGTATGGAGCCACCAAGGGCGCGAACGAGCGGGGGCCACGAAGGGCAGATAATGCAGGGCCACAGCGGGCAACGACGAGGCCACTGAGGGTAACAACGGGGCCACGTAGGGCAGCGAGGGGGCCACAAACGGCGACAACGGGGCCACGAAAGGCATCCATACGGGGCCACGACGGGCGCGAACGAGCGGGGGGCCACGAAGGGCATACGTACATTGGGCCGCAAAGGGCAAGGACGGGGCCACTGAGGGCAGCAACAGGGTCACGAAGGGCAGCGAGGGGGCCACGAGGGGCGACAGCGGGGCTACGAAGGGCAGCGAGATCTAGTTTCCTAAATAAGCTGCGAAGGAGTCCTGAGCGTGAGCGCGGCGTGTGAGTAGATTGTGGGGAAGTCCAGCGCCAGATTGCGTCTCTTGAATGAGTCGCAAGCGAGTCTCCAGCGAGAGCGCGATTCCAGAGCGCCGAGAGAACGATGCCTGCATACATTGTGAAGAAGTCCAAAGCGAGACCGCGATTCCCAAGAACAACGCGAGGAATTCTCAGGCGGGAGCGGGGGTCCTGGCTAAATGGTGAGGAAGCCTCAGGCGGGAGCCGTTGTTGTAACCAGGCCGGGGGCCAGAGGCCCAGATTGAGTCGAGTGGCTTCTCCTGATTATAAAAAAGCAGGGTCCGAACCATGGGGGAAGCACTTGACTTGAAAAATTGACACCAGAGGGGGAGCAATAAGAAATATTCTGGTGTAGTGATAGTTCAACAACAACAACAACAACAACAACAACAACAACAACAACAACAACAACAACAGCAACAACAACAACAACAACAACAACAACAACAACAGCAACAGCAACAGCAACAGCCACAACAACAACAACAACAACAACAACAACAACAACAACAACGACAACGACAACGACAACGACAACGACAACGACGACGACGACGACGACAACGACAACGACAACGCAACGACAACGACAACCACAACCACAACCACAACCACAACCACAACCACGACACCAACGACACCAACGACACCAACAACACCAACAACACCAACAACAACAGCAACAGCAACAACAACAACACAGGAGACACTGCACCTGGACACCCGTTGCACGGGTGCTGGGGTCAATGGTTGTTCCGAACGCACGAACATTGACCTAGACCCCCGGCGGTCGGCAATCCCCCCCCCACCAACCAGCAAACCAGCAACCAAACTCGCCCTTCAAGCTTGGCTTGCAGCCTACCTATCCTATGGACCTTGCTCACACGAACCGATGGAAGCGCGCTCTCTATGGAAGGCGGTAAACATGCTCGGGCCCCTGCGCGATCCCTACAAGCCTGGATACAGCTCCATAAGGATCACCACAGCCCTATTCAAGGTAACTGATCTAGGATTCCCTGCCAAGGATCACCGACGGGGTATTCCCTACTTCTGCTTTAAACCTACCAAGAACTCAATGCTAAATATTCCCGACTAAGAACCCCCTACTACGGATTCCCTGCCAAGGATTTCTCCACTATCATCACCGTCGTCATCATCATCATCACCACCATCATCATCCACATCACCACCTTCACCATCATCATCACGGCCACCCCCTATTATCCTCGACAGGGAATCGTCAGGAAGCCTCGATAAGCTCCAGAATTCCTTGGGGAACCCCCAGGAGCCCCAACGGCATGCCCAGGAATCCCCAAAAAGGATTCCTCGGGGATCCCTCAGGAATCCCTGAACCATTCCCGCGGGAATCCCGTCGGAAACCCTGAGGAATCCCCAGGAAACCCACGCGAATCTTCCCGAATCCTTCAATAATCCATGCGGACTTTCCACAAGCATCCCTCAGGAATCATCCGGAATCCCAACACAATCCTCAGGAATCCTCAGAAACCGTTAGGTTCCTCAGCAATCCTTCTGGACTCCATAATACTTATGAGGCATCCCTCAGACATTATCCGGGAACCCTCCGGACGAATCCTGATACATCCACAAGAATCCCTCAAGCAAGAATCCCGAGGGAATCCGTCGGAAATCTCTCAGGAATCCCTCGGGAACCCTTCAGAAATTCCTCCAGAATCCTTGACGAATCCCTGTGGAACCCTTTATAGGATTGCATCAATAATCCGAGAGAGATCCCTTACAAGTCCTGTGGGTTCCTTCATGAATCGATCAACGATCCCTCCAGAATCCTGCGGGGATCCGAAGGAACCTCTCGGAATCATCCAGGAATCCTCGGGAAACCCTAGGAATCCCCCAAAAACCCTTCAGAAATCCTCCAGGAAACCTCCGGAATCCTTCAGGAATCCCTTTGGAACCCATCAAGAATCCCCAGAAATCCCTCAGAAGTCCGTGTAGCAATCCCTTCAAAATATTTCAAGAATTCTTAGGGATCATTCAAGAATTGAATCGGAATCCTTGAGGGAATCCGTCAGGAATCCCAATGAGAATCCAAAAAGAATCACTGAGTAATCTTCTGGAATGAACTGGCATCCTTCAGGACTCCATCACGCATCCTCAGGGATCCTTCAGG